GACGCGTGGAGGTCGAGGGGCAGCTCCAGCGCCACGCCGTAGCCGCCGAGGGTCTCGGCGAGGGGGCTGAGGTCCAGCTCGCTCAGGGAAGCGGGGCCGCCCAGCACGGTCCGCGGGGGCCGTCGGTGGCAAAGATTCGCCTGACGAGCATCACAAATAAATCGAATACGACCATCTTTCTTATGCACGAAGAAGGCTCCACAGCGGCTCTTGATCGCCCGGCGGAAGCCCGCAACACCCGCCGCCGCCAGCCGGCGGAAAAAATCGCGACGCGCTGACCGATCTCCGCGGAGGGCGGGGTCCCAGTAAGGAGTAGGGAGCCCCCCCGCGGTCTGTAGCCGGGCCTCCAGCTCCGGCGCGGTCAGCTCCACCTGGCTCTCGACATGTCTCAAATATCCTGCAGCAGCCTCTGGGAGCAAGTCCGACACGGGGAAAGGCCGCAGCGCGCCGGACGCGACGTGCAGCTTGTCGGGGTCGTAGCTCGCCAGGTGCCGCGGCTCCAGCTCATACTGGTCGGCGGACTTGAGGATCGCCCGAAGGGGCCGCTCGCCATCCGTCGCTTCGCGAGAAGGCTCGCCATAGCCGTTGATCCCAGCAAACACGTGGGCCAGCGCACTCCTCTGGGCCGCAGTCGGCGGCCCCCCCCGTGGACGCACGCGATGAACCTTGCCATCAATCGAATTCGTCTTGGAAGCAGCGAGGTGGTTGAGGGCCTCAACCGTCTCTCTAACCCGCTCTTGCTTCTTGGCCCGTTAGTGCCGTCTGCGCACCGTGGACCTGGCTGCCCCCGTCGGCCGCTCCTCCTCGTACTGCACGGAGCGGGAAGGGGTCATTGTGGAGCCAGTGGCCGTCCGGCCACCAATACTCCTTTGGCAGCTCGCTGACTCCTGGGCGGCGGCGCGCGCCGGTCCCGGGCTCGGCCAAGCCCCCTGCGCAGGCACCGCCTCGGAAGGGAGTCATCCTCCCTCCCCCTCGGCGCCAGCCGAGGGGGGCCCTCTCTTCGCCTTCACCTTCTGCCTGGCCCGCAAACCATCGCCCGTCTCGCCCTTGCCGCCGCCCTTCGCACTCTGCCGCCTCGACGCCTCCTCCTGATAGAGCCCCAGCTGCATGGGGATCCGGGCGCGGTCCTTCTGGCGGTTGGTGGCATGCGCGAGGTGCCGCGGCACGCGGGCCGAGTCGCTCACCGACCGCGGCCCAGCTAGCACGTCCTCTGGCCCGCTGAAGACCGGGCGCCGCGGGTTCTTCTCGACGGCCATCTCGACCTGGATGACGCGGCGCACGGCGTGCTCGAAACACGCCAAGTTGACCTCATTCGGCTGGTCGAGGCAGATCGCCCACAGCAGCGTCCCGAGGTGGCTGCGGTGCTCATGTCCCTGGACACCGCCATCGGCCACTCCGCTGAGACGCTGCCACTCGGCCTGGTAGGTGAGCGGGTTGCCCGCCCCCAGCGCGCTGCTCTTGGAGTGCTCAGACCACGCTCGCGGTCCTCGATCGGGCCAGTCTGCGACGGTCGTCTCCCTCATGGACTCGACGCTATCCCTGAAGTCCAGATCCCGACGGCCAACCCGCGAGCGGTAGTCCCCCAGCACGCGGATATCCTCGACGTCCTCACGGCACGACTGCACCCCACTGCTCCACTCTCCTCGAGGGACTCGCTCCACGAAGCGCGGCTCCCCGTCGATCATGCACACCTCTCGGTCGTCAAGCGACACGCACCTGCCGCCATCCTCGACGACGTTGGCAGGCACAGCTTCGCCAAAGCGAGCGTCCGCGACACTCACCAGCAACCACCCACACACCTCGGCATCCTCGACCTCCCCCCCGCCCAGGAGGGCAGCCCGTCGCTGGGCCCGCCGCTTCCCATCTCGCAGCGTCTGTCCATCGGCCGGGTCGAACGAGTGCACCAGTGGCGCGAACTGGGTGGGGAAGGCTGACGACTGATCCTGCACATGATGTCGCATGGCGCCAAGGTCTACCCTCACAATCTCATGCTCAGGCGTGAGGCCCAGCCCCAGGGTGCCCTCGACCGTATGCAACAACACGAGGCGGTGCCACTCCAGATCCTCGTCGGGGTACCGCACTAGCACCTGGGCCCCGCAGATGTCGAGCGTCCTAGCAGCCATCTCGACGCTGGGCCAGCGAGCTGGGCGTCGTCGCCACGGTCGTCACGGATGGCCCCGCGGGCCCGCCCGGCGCTGGGAGCGCGGCGGCCTTGGCAGAGCGGCCTCCTGCCCCTCGGGCCGAGGAGGCTGGCTCCTCGCCGCCGCAGCCGGGGCCACCCGGACACTCTCAAGCCGCCCCCGCGGCCTGGCGCGCGCACCCCAGCACGCTGGCGCCCGCGCAGCCCACGGCCAGCCCAGCGCCCGCCGAGCACAAGGCCACCGCCGCGCTAGCCCAGAGCAGCGAGGTGGCCTGCCCCCCCGGGCAATGGCAGTCGCCGCACTGCAGGCCTTGGCAGCTCGGCAACGTCACTGATGGGCAGGAGACCGAAGGGCACGTGGGGCAGCTTGCAGCCAACCACGAAGTGCGGAAGTGGAGGGCTGCTGGGAGAAAATCGCGAGCAAGCCCCAAAAGACCCCCTGGGAGCATGCCCTGAGAAGCTTGAGCCAGAACAGATATGAACAGATACGATCGCATCTGTGCTGTAGACAAGAACGGTACGCTAGGAACGAGGGCCAAGAACACACATCTTAAATATTACAATTGTTGAACCACCCCTCCGGCTAAATTCTGTGTTTTCTCAATTGAACTGCTCCTCCCGGGGCCCGCACCCTGAGTTTTCTTTATCAAAGGAAATACTTAATGCTCAAACTGTGTTGTTGGCACCTGGTTTACAACAACAGCGGCTCCCGCCTGATACTTCCTCACAACGTGTTATACGAAAATCGCGTTCTCGCATGGTGCTTCCTTACAATGTATTGCGGCGCCGTGCCTCCGAGACTCGCGAATCACGGTCTCGCGAATCACGGGCCCGCCCGACCTGCCCGTTCGGGCCCGCCCGCCCGACACGCCCGTCTGGTTCTGCCGCTTGCGCTCCTGCTCCTAACCCTCCTCCTGCACATCTCTCTCGCACTCGATCCTTCACCATCCCCCTTGTCTCGTCCCATTCTCCCTTCCTTCCTCTGTTTTAGGGGCTGCACCAACTACACGCGGCAGGTAGGGAAGATATACCCCCCAAGAGGTGTACGATCGAAGACGAAAAGGGCGGGTACCGAGGGTCTGGGATATGATATACGTGTCGAATGGCACGCGAGCAGATACTGCGAACAGTCATAACATGATGCATGTTGTTGTTGCCATTGTTCTTGCTCTTGTCGTCCTCAGCTCGGGTGGGTCGCGGTGGGGGTAGGTGGGTCACGGGTGGGTCGCGGCGCGGGTGGGTCGCGCCCCCTCACCCTCATATGATCTGCAACTGCAGGGGACTAGGGTATCCAGCCTTCCAGAAATCAGCGTGTACTTCTCAGGTTGCTGGGACCCCTTCTCCAAGTGTCACGAACGGCCCTGCTTGGATTGCCCATCCGTCGTCCTACACGCACGGCCTTCCCCAGCGCGCCGAGCGCGCCGGAGGTGGCGCGGGAGGCGGCGCCTGGGTGCCAGCGCCAACCCGAGTGGTCTGTGCGGGCCTCCGAGAGCTCATGCCCGTGCCGCCTCCTGGTTCTCAAGCTCCGCCGCGTCCTCGAGCTGGGCCTCGGGGGCGGCGGATGGCGGCCAGGTCCCCGCTCGATCTGCCCAACGCCTGACAGCGCCGCACCGCTCCCGCGCCGGCGCGGCAAGCCCCTCTGAGCGTCCTCCGCGCCGGCTGGTGCCGCTCCGCTCCGCGCCGCGCCAACGCGCCCCCGCTCGGGATGCTCAGCGCCGAGCGGCTTCGCCGCAGATGGTGCGGTCCTACGCGTCGTCCTCCTTGTGCAGCTCGGCCTCCACCGTGCCCTTGCCCGGGTCCAGAGCGACCAGCCTGACCCGGACCTCCGAGCCACGCTCGAGGGTGGCGAGCAACGACTTCCTCAGGCTTACCATTGCGGACCTGGTGGCGCCGATGTCTACCCACAGGTTCGCTCTCTTCCCGCCGACCTCCGCGCCCTCAATGTAACCCGTGACGCTGGACCCCACCTCGAGATCATCCAGCCGCGCCCTGCTGGCGCCCCTGTCCTCGACGAGCTTGTCGAGGCCCGCCACTTCTACCCTCACCTCACCGCTGTCGCCGCCGACGCTCGCCACGACCAGGCTCAGCTCCTCCCCCCACCTGAGCAGCGAGAGCTTGCCGCGTGGGCCGACGACCCTGGCGGTCTGCCGGCGGCCGCCGATCCTGGCGACGACGAAGTCCGTGCGAACCTTGTTCTGGACTGTGCCCCGCACCGCCTGCCCCACCTCGAGTCTGGAGAGCCCGGCGCGGGACACCAGGATCTCGCTTCGCTCGGGGTCCACCCTCTCAAGCCTCAGGTCCCGCAGCTCCTCGAACAGCACCGGATCCTGTGCCTCCCCCCCGCCGACTGGCAGGACGGCGTCCTGCTCGCAGCCGATGTCGATCAGGGCGCTTTGACTCGTTATCCTGGTGACTGTGCCGTTGACCAGCTCGCCTTCGCAAAGGTCCTCCAGCTGCCTCAGCTTGGCCAGGCCGGCGACGGACACGCTGAAGAGGCCAGCTTCCAGGTCCACCTTCTCCACCGTCGCCTGCACCACCTGCCCGCTCCTGAGGCTGCCCGCCAGCTCTCTCCGCGGAGCGAGGATGGACCCGTTGTTCTCGAAGCCGAGGTCGACCCTGAAGGCGCGCTGCCTCGTGCGCACGATCCTCCCCTCCAGCGTCTCGCCCACCTGGGGCGACGAGCGGAACAGGGCCATGCACGCGAGAGCACAACGGCCTTGCGCGGTGGCTCCAGCGGGCCGCCGGCGCGGCACGCCGCGTGGAGAAGAGGGCGCTCGCGCGCGACCTTGCGCGGGCAGCTCACGCGCGAGCGCCCGCGCCGTCAAACCCGCCCGTCCTCCGTCGCTCACCTTCAGATCCCTCAGCGGCTTCCTGACGCGCCCCGCGCTGCCGCCCCCGCGGGCTGCCTCCGCGGCCTCGGCCGCGCGCGAGCAGCCCGGAGGGGCCCGCCTCTGCGACGACGGGCGCTCCTGGGGGGCGCCGACGCAGCCGGCTGGCCACGCCTGTGCTGGCCAGGCCGGCCCTGCGCCCCGGGCGGGCGGTACGCGCCCTCACGCGGCCAGGCCGGAAGGGCGTGCATGCCGACCGCTGGGCCCCTCGGCTTGCCTGGCCAGGACTCCCCGTCGCTCGGACGTCCATTCCCTGTGCTTTGTTCGGTTTCCTGCGCGGTTTTTTAACAGGAGGATCCAGGATGCTCCTTACTAATCCCCGCCGAGAAAAGGTGCACACGTCCGAGCGATACCAAGAGGAGCGGCGCAGCCAGCCTGAGGTTTGGCTCCCCCCTCCGGCTCCTGTCTGCCGGACACTCGCCTGGACAGCCCAGGGCAGGACACCGCGATGTGATTCTGCTCGATGTCCACTTCCTCGACCCTGAGGCCCTTCAGTTCTTGCCGAGGCTCGAGCTTGGACCTCACGTCCTTGGTGCCTAACAAGAGGGCCTTTCGCTTGCAGCCAATGTCGACAAAGACGCCTGCGCTGTTGATTCTCGAGACGATGCCATCAACCATCTCGCCCTTCTCGAAGTCCTCCAAAAACCTTAACTTGGGCAACCCATTAATGGACACGGTGAAGAGGCCCGTTTCCGAGTTCACCTTCTCTACCGTTGCGGTCACATTCTGCCCGTTCACCAAATCACTTGCCCGGACAAGAACAGACGCATTCCTCTCGTAGCCAGCATCCAGTTCAAAGGTGGCCGGAATCCCCCCACGCAGCTTCGTGCGGACGACTTTGCCCTCCAACGTCTCGCCCACCCTCAAGTCCTTTAACGACTTCCTGTCTGGCCGCAATGTTCTGACCTTTAGCCTTCTGCTTTTCTGCTTTGCGCTCTCTGTCTGCGTCGAGTGAGGCTCTGGCCGATCAGGCACTAGTTTGGACAACCCTGAAACTAGTTTGGACAACCCTGAAAACGACACTGTGACCTTTCGCTGAACGACATTCACCTTCGTAATCTCGAGGCCTGTCAGCTCTTCGTGCAGCTTGAGCTTCGACGTGTCATCTTTGCCGCATGGCAGGAGGGCGTTAATTTCGCAACCAATGTCGACCAAGACGCCGACATTGCTAATGCCAGACACAGTGCCATCAACCATCTCGCCCTCCCGGACATCCTCCAGCAACCTCAGCTTGGGCAGCCCATCGACAGACACGCTGAAGATGCCAGCTTCCAGGTCCATCCTCTCCACCCTGGCGCTCACAGTCTGCCCGATCACCAGCTCGCGCGGGCGGACGCGTGCGAGCAAGGAAGCGTTCTTCAGGGGGCCGCATGCGAACCCTGCCCCTACCCCCCACGATTTCTGAGAGGGAGGGTGGGGTCCGCTTCGCTCGGGAGCTCCTGAGCGAAGTGACCCCCCCTCCCCCCCAGAAATCCTGGGGGGCAGGGGCAGGGTTCGCAAGTTGGCCCCCTGCTCTTCTCGCAACCGACGTCCAGCTGGGCCACACGCCGCCTCGTGCGCACCACCCTCCCCTCCAGCGCCTGGCCCACCCTCAGGGCCGCCAGCGGCCTCCTGGCCGGCCCCTCGCGGGCGCCCCCCTGCGCTGCCGCGGCCTCGCCCGAGGACGTGACGCTCCGCTCCGCCTCGACGTCCACCGCCTCGGCCTGGAGCCGTGCTGACCCCGCACCGCCGGGTTGGGCTGGGGACTCGGGGGCTCGCGGGAGCTCGGGGGCGGCCTCTGCCTGGGCCTGAGACCAAGCACCCCTCTCTACCCCAAGCCCCCCGACATTGCGCACCGCCTTCTCGCGACGTGCGACTCGCGCGCATCTTCACGCCTTCTCGATACCCCCCACCCTCCCCACGAGAAGGGCGACTCTGCGACCTGGCCGCGACGCGCGAAGCACGGCTATCCTCGCTCCCCCAGGGATAACCCAGCCTTTATTTCCCCCCGACCCTCCCTCTCCTGTCACTCTTCTCCACCCTCTCCTCTCCTTTCACTCCCTCCGGCCATGCTCCCTTTGCGCCTTGCGCGCGCCGCCAAGTTAATGAAGCACGGGAGCCCTGCCATCAGACTGCAGGCGCTAAGACGGAGCCAGGACGAAGACAACATCGGGCCTAGATGATTCGGACGTCTTGGAAAACTGGCGTCCCTGAGGAAATATCGGGCGCCGCGGCCGTTCCAGAACGCTCCGGAACACTCTGAGAGAGTTCCGGGAGGTTCTGGAGCGATCTATCTCTGCCCTACGCATGGCTGGCGAGTGCGCCCCATCAGACTTCAAGCTCTCGGATATAGGCGGTTTGATGCAGTGGGTTTGCACGGCCTCGGCAAGTTCGGACAGGGCGACATTCAGGACTGGCTCCCTCCAACCGCATGGACTCTCGGTGTCTGCAGCGGCCAGTTTTGGAGGTCCCACCCCCCAGACTACCGACTACCTGCACCCCCGAGAAGATGGAGGACTAGACATGCTTCCGACGGCGGAGGGGAGAGCCGACCTCGGCGCCGCCAGCGTCGGCCTGCAGGCGTGCCACCAGCTCGTGCTTCTTGCCAGACACTGGCAGCCCCGCCTCCTTCAGCCGGCCCTTCAGCTGGACCACGGTGAGCTTGTCGAGGTCCTCCCGACAGGCACAGGGCGGCACAAGCGAGGTCAATTTGTGTCCGTCGCGGGTGCCTTGTCCGACGGTCCGAGGGAAGCCCTAGGATAAGCTTGAGAAGCAATTGCCCTAGTGATGACTTGGCATGGCGCCAGAGGCCAAGGCAACATCCGCTCAGAATCGGGCACCCTTCCCGTGTGGCCCACCCCAGCAACATTTTGAAAGGTATATCCGTCCGCGACGACGAGGGCGCGTCCAGAGGCACAAAAACCGCTCAGACGCCTAAAACTTTCGATCCTCCACTCCGCAGTCGTTTCATCACGCCAAAGGGTCTGGATCTCAGGAGGTCCACGGTGTCTCGTTCATCACTTGTTTCTTAGCGACCGAACCTGAGACAATCTGAACACCATAAACTAAATGATACTGGAGAAAAAAACAATCAGGGCTATAGGGCTAGGGGGCTATAGGGCTATAGAGCCATAGGGCTATACAGGTGTAGGGCTATAGGGCTATAAAGCTTTAGGGCACCCACGGGCACGCCCGGGCACCCGGGCGTGCGGCGAAAATCGGCGGCAAACCTAACCTAACCATATGAATCCGCTAGGACCCCTACAGAGGCAAGCTCTGATTGGGGAGCAATCCGAACCTGTCGAATAAGGGAGGAACGAAAAAAGAAAAGTATTGTCCGAGCCCGCGTGCATCGACTGATGACGGTCAGATAATAGCTGACAATCCGCGGAGCGCCGACTGTCAGCTACAGTAGGTCTCTCAGCATGGGAGCTCAGAAATTGGAAGGCGGGCACACATGAAATGAACCCCACCGGTGAGCTCGTGCCAGTCCTAACCGATGGGCGGCGGAGGTATGGTTCGGACTTCGTCACAAACCAAGCTCTACTGAGCCGACCAGGATCAAAAAAAACACATAGGGTCGGCCAGCCGGCAACGAGCTCAACAAGCCAGACGGTAGACCATCACGTGTCGATCCTTGAGCATCCAATCGATGAAAGCTTTGGCGCCCGAGTGGCCTCTGATGGTAGCTTCACTAGAAGAAGAGACAACTGCATAAGCATAAGCTTTCGAAGGTCCCCGCGGATATCTTAGATCGGCGTGCAAGTTCCCTTCCTCGATTTCCAAAGCTGCAACACCACTGCCACGGCTATTTGCCTGCAAACGCAAATGCAAACGTTCAGAATCAGGCATTGACGCTCCATCGAATATAATTTCATGTCAAAAGAAAAGGACGAAGACGAGACGAGAGGGAAGGAATGCGAGCTTCCAGTTCAGCCTGCGAACTGCGAACTGCGATACGACTGTGAGGATTTCAGAAAGTATGGCTATAGTATGACGAAGAAGACTTGGTCAACTCCTCTTCAAGGTTCGCCCATGTACTCGTCGACGCAATGCGTACAAGAACGTCCAGTGCAAACATTTATCCAGCCTCTATCAGAGGCCAGAGCACCAAGCGAGGTATCATTGCGCCACCATCAATCCCACCGTCTGGCAAGCAGGGGGGACTACTTGTTACCCTTGCTCTTTTGTCCCATCCGCAAAGTATATCTTGCATGTGCGTTTGTTCTTCTCGTACTGTCTCACCCTTTCACAGGCTCCTCGACCGGAACTGACTCTGAACTCTATCAGAGTGCCCCTGTCATCGTCGTCCCAGTTGCGAAGAATAGAAGTTCTCCCCTCCCCCTCCTCCTCCTCCTCCTCCTCCTCCTCCTCCTCCTCCTCCTCCTCCTCCTCCTCCTCCTCCTCATCCCCCACCTCCTCCTCCTCCTCCTCCTTTTCCTTTTCCTCCTCCTCCTCCTCCTCCTCCTCCTCCTCCTCTCCTCCTCCTCCTTCCCCCCCGCGGGCGCAGGAGGCATTGCACTTGGGCCCCGTCTGCCCCCTGGCGGTCGTGCTCCCGCTCGGGTCAGGAGGTAGCGGCGCACGAGCGAGCAACCTCCAGGTCCGCTAAGCTGCTGGTGCAGACGGCTCCCGCAGGGGTGGTCCGCCTCGTTAGTAACAAACGTAGTGCAGTATATGTTGTGCACTCTATGTGGTGCCATGAACGGTGCGCAGTCCATGTGGTGAAATCTGGGAGGTTCAATCTATGTTGTGCAAGCTATGTGGTGCAGTCTCAGTGGTGCAATCTATGTAATGCTGTGGGGGGCGTTTTGGTGGCCTTTTGGGAGCCCCCGGCCCTGTGGCCTCGTGAACCAGTATCTATGTTTTCCCAACCATCCTGTGGTGTTGGGTCCTCGTCTTGAAGGGATAACGCCCCGCGTCACTCCTCCTCCTCCTCCCGCTGCACCACACTCCTTCCGCGCAGTCCGCATGGCGGCGCCGCCCTATTTTGGCACACCCCTCACACGTTTCGTGGCCCCATAGGGAGCTCCACCTAAGGTCCCGGCGGCAGGGTTCGAATGCAGTTCCACCCTCATTTCGGCGCGCCCCTCACACGGTTCGTGGCCCCATGGGGAGCTCCATCGAAGGCCCCAGTGGCAGGGTTCGCATGCAGTTCCACCTTCATCTCGGCGCACCCCTCACACGGTTCGTGGCCCCATAGGGAGCTCCACCGAAGGCCCCAGTGGCAGGGTGTTGGGTCCTCGTTTTGAAGAGACAGCGCCCCACGTCACTCACTCCTTCCTGCTCCCCCCTCCTCCCTCCTCCCATCCTTGCCTCTGCCCTCCGCAGTCCTCATAGTCGTCATCATCATCAGCATCATCAGCATCATCAGCATCGTCAGCATCATCATGATCATGGCCATGATCATGATCATGGTCATGATCATGATCATCATCATCATCATCATCATCATCATCATCATCATCATCATCATCATCATCATCATCATCATCATCATCACCATCACCATCATCATCATCATCATCATCATCAGCATCATCATCATCATCATCATCAGCAACATCATTATCATCCTCATGATCATGATCATGATCCTGATCATCATCACCATCATCAAGATCATAATAATCATCATCAATCATCATCATCATCATCATCATCATCATCATCATCATCATCATCATCATCATCATCATCACCATTCGCAACATCGTCATCATCATCGGCATCGTCATCATAATCATCATCACCGTCGTCGTCATCGTTGTCGTCATCATCATCATCATGTTCATCATCATCATCATCAGCATCATCACCATAATCAGCATCATCATCATCATCATCATCAACATTATCATCATCATCATCATCATCATCATCATCATCATCATCATCATCGTCATCAACAACATCACCATCACCATCACCATCACCATCACCATCACCATCACCATCACCATCACCATCAGCTTCATCATTATCATCGATCTCGTCTCACGGTTCGTGGCACCATAGGGAGCTCCACCGAAGTCCCCAATGGCAAGGTTCGCATGCAGTTCCGCATTCGTTTCGGCGCATCCCTCACACGGCTCGTGGCTGCCATTCCACCTTCATTTCGGTGCACCCCTCACACGGTTCGTGACCCCACAGGGAGCTCCACCAATAGCTTCGGTGGCAGGGTTCGCATGCAGTTCCACTCTCATTTCGGCGCACCCCTCACACGGTTCGCGACCCTATGGGCTCCACCGATGGCAAGGTTCGCATGCAGTTCCACTTTCATTTCGGCGCACCCCTCACACGGT